GTACCTCAGGTTAAGAACAGTTTCAGGTTAAGAACGGACCTCCAGAATGAATTAAGTTCTTAACCTGAGGTACCACTGTACTGCTGATATGACATGGTCATTGGATGTGAGGGTCTTCCTTTGGGTTGCAAGACCTTGGATTTGTACCCCATAGTCCATTGATAGTGGAACCACTGGGCTAGCAAAATGAGCTTTGTTTTCATGAGGAAGTTCTCATGGCAATTGTGAAATTTCACAGCATCCTAGGGAAGAGAAATACAGTGGTACCTCTGGTTATGAACTTAATTTGTTCTGGAGGTCCGTTCTTAACCTGAAACTGTTCTGAACCTGAGGTATCACTTTAGCTAATGGGGCCTCCTGCTGCCGCCGTGCTGCCGCCATAAGATATCTGTTTTCATCCTGAGGTAAAGTTCTAACCCTGAGGTACTACTTCCGGGTTAGCAGAGTCTGTAACCTGAAGTGTTTGTAACCTGAGGTACCACTGTATGACTTAATTAGTAATTGAACATAGTAATGAACTAAACATGATGTCTGGAAAATCTAGCATTATCATGCACCATGCAGACAGGATTTTCTTTCACAGTTGAGAACTGATATTTTCATCTGAAAAAGAAAACACCCCTCTAAAGACCAGTTTCCTATGTGTTGCAAAAGGGCTTGCTGTAATGTGCAGCCACATTACAGAACAAGAATGTAAAGTATTTTGCTTCAAGACTGCCAGAGACAAGGGACACTGCAGAACTGTAGTGTCTGGTACATGGCGAGCCTTAGAATAGGAATGTTCTGAAATGAAAACACGCCCATTACAACTTATAGATCTGCCAAGTGAGGGCTGTGCATTATGTTCTCTTGGCTTGCCAAGTTCAGGCCAACTTATTAAAATAATGACCCTTAAATTACCTGGTGACTGAATTGCTACGAAGCATAAGAACATTCAACAGGGAGAATATATTGTGATAGGCCATGTATTAAAGATCACTGGACGTCTTAAAATCTAATGTCTTAAAGTTTAGGACAGCAGAGTGATTTTTAATATATCGGAATACATACGGGGCACAGCAAACATATGGCTTGGTGGACTTTGACATGGTTGATAATAAAGCTCAAATGAAATTTCATCCATTGGAGCAATGAATAAAAACTGAAGCTCTGTAAATGTTGATGTTTGGATTTTGGAACCACCAATCCAAAATTGGATCAGTTTTTGTGCCAAGCATTTGGTTTGCACATTGCAATTTGATGCCTGCAACCCATGTCATGAAAGGTTTGTCCTATAATAATAATAATAATAATAATAATAATAATAATAAATTATTATTTATACCCCGCCCATCTGGCTGGGCTTCCCCAGCCACTCTGGGCGGCTTCCAAAAAAAATATTAAAATACTGTAATCCATCAAACATTAAAAGCTTCCCTGATATAACCAAGGCTCGACATTTCCTCCTCAGTTTTTAAATGCCTGCCAAAATCCAGATCCTTGTATTTCAGAACTGAAGATCCAAGGTGAGCCACCTAGAACTATCAACATTCCAGGTGAATGGTTCAGTGTAATCATGAGTCACATTGGCCGTCAAGAGCACATGAGCAGGAAATATGACATAACCAGAATCCCACATTCTTGGACTTCACAATGTTCTCTCGTATGCAGGAACAGCCCAGAGCACTCTGATTTACTAAGGCATGGAACAAATTCTTCACTGAGTGGAGTCAGTGGAACAATCATGGGATAAATGAGGACATAATCTGGTTGTGCTTGTTCATATGGTTCCGTGAAAGAAAGTGCTTTGGAGAGTCATTTAGAGTGACAGCAAGGAGATGAATTTTGATGGGCTACTCCTCTTCTTTCTAAGGCAGCGGTTCTCAACCTGTGGTCCCCAGATGTTGTTGGACTACAACTCCCACCATCCCTGAGCTCTGGGCCTTGCTAGCTAGGGGTGATGGGAGTTGTAGTTCAACAACATCTGGGGACCCACCGGTTGAGAAAGGCTGCTCTAAGGCATGCCAGGGAGTGTTCCTTGAACGTTTATGCACTGACCTCTGTTCATTGCAGAGTCTTGTCAAATCAAAAGACAGGAGCGAAAACATTTTGGCTACAGCCCCCCAAAAACAGTTGATCTGCAAGTTAAGGTGACTGAAGGAAGCTTCCGCTGCAGTACCATATTCCACTGCTGAAGAGGCAAGCTGCAGGAGCTCCCACTCTGAAAAGTTCCTGCAGCTGGCCTATTTAGCAGTAGAATACAGTGGTGCACATGCAATGCTCTTATTCATGCATAACATAATTGTTTCAGATATGGCCTTTAAAACAGCCATCCTGGTTCAGCAAGGGCAATCTTCGGGCAGAAGAAGGCTTTGCATGGAATAGACCTTTCATAAAATAAAGGGAATGATCTGAGTGGCATGTGCAGATCACCCATTCAGTGTGCGCATGTGATCAGATACTGGTTGTATGTTAGTGTCTAAACCAGACATAGGCAAACTCGGCCCTCCATATGTTTTGGGACTACAACTCCCATAATCCCTGACCACTGGTCCTGTTAGCTAGGGATGATAGGAGTTGTAGTCCCAAAACATATGGAGGGCCGAGTTTGCCTATGCCTGGTCTAAACAATGAATAAATAAATGCAAAGGGTTCACACACACACACACACACACACACACACACACACACAGCCTTGCACACTAAAAGTATGCGTCATGGGCTCACACTCTCTAGCCTTGTCCCGAAGATGATGCCTGCACTGTGTCAGAATGCCGTCAGCAGCCCCCGGCTGGCTGCCCAGGATGGTATAAAGACAAGGAAAAGTTTCTTACCGTCCTTTTTTATTTCAATATTTACCGAGAGAGGCTATAGAACCCAGCCTCTTGGATAATGGCCTTGTCCCGAGTGAATCTCCACCCTCCGTCTCTCCCACTTCCTCATTCATCACTTCTACGGGTGCTGCTATGTGCCCTCTGTCTTTGAGCTCTTTGCTCTCCTACTTTCAAGGCTCGCCGGGTTCCAGGAGGGTCAGGGATATTTTCTAAATACACTGTGTCAGCCAGCTGCTGCTCTGGTTATGCCTCCTCTTCTCCCATTATTTCCCACCTTTTCTCCTCATCTGCCTCTGAGCTGTGACCTCCAGCAAACCACTGTTGCAAATCTATACTGTCTTCCTCCTCCCCCTCCCTGGAGGGGTCAGGATGGGGAGGCTGCCTCCACCACTCCTCCTCTGCCCGGTCCCTGACATACTGGCCATACCTTACACCAGCCACATACTGACCTATGTGTTTAGGACCAATCAAGATCTCCCTTTGCATAGGGGAGTCCTGGTGTACATGTAAGGACCCTTCACCTGGGAGAAAAAAATGTTACCTGGCAAATCTGGTGTGATTCTGCAACACCTGCCGCACATACTCTCAATGCATGAGGTGGGTCATGCTGCCCTCCCCCCACGGGGGTCTTAAGTCTTATGCTACAAAGGGAAAAGAGCAGTTTGAGTGTAATAAAGGTATTCGGCCGAGTCGAATGTCATTGCTATGTGTGTTAATTAAGGTTTGATGCAGTACAAGACGTGCTGTATTTAACCGCCACTCAAGCAGATGCACCTTAACGATGTGACTAAACAGGAACAAAAGGATCGGCTAAGTCACAGCTATGACGTTAATTTGAGGTGATGATGATGACATCATATACCTAACAGTTCAGCTTGTAGAACATACTAACAGCCAGGACATTCATCTTAAGCATGCAATGAGGGAAATGCCGGCTGAATATGTTTGTCTTTTGGGTCCCACGCTCCAGAACACGGGAGCCGAAATGTGACATCCTGGATTGGGATCAGAAGCTGGGATGGCTTCTGGAAATCTGGGGTGTTCAGTTTTTCAGTATGCAGGAACTGAGACAATGGTCTCATTCCATCTTGTGACTAGGATGGGCCTTGCACGTCCCATCCTCTGGTATCCATATCCATCACAACTGCTTCTAACTGGTACCTCTGGTTACGTACTTAATTCATTCCGGAGGTCCGTTCTTAACCTGAAACTGTTCTTAACCTGAAGCACCACTTTAGCTAATGGGGCCTCCTGCTGCCACCGCACGATTTCTGTTCTCATCCTGAAGCAAAGTTCTTAACCCGAGGTACTATTTCTGGGTTAACGGAGTCTGTAACCTGAAGCGTATGTAACCTGAGATACCACTGTAATCACATCCATGGATTTATTATTATTATTATTATTATTATTAATAATAATATACCGCCCTATACCGGGGGTGGTGGTCTCGGGGTGGTGGTCTCAGGTTGGTTCACAGAATAAAATCAAGATATAAAACCACAAAATACATAATAAAAATAAAAACAACAACCCAATAGCCCCCACAAACACATTTTAAAAGGGCACAGGATGTCAATCAGGTCAACAAAAGCCTGGTTAAAAAGGAAAGTTTTTGCCTGGTGCCTAAAGGTGTATCATGAAGGTGCCAAATGGACTTCCCTGGGGAGAACATTCCACAGATGGGGAGCTACTGCAGAGAAGGCCTCTTCTTGTGTTGCCACCCTTTTGTGGAGGAAGCACACGAAGAAGGGTCTCAGAAGATGATCTAAGGGTTCATATGGAAAGAGGCGGTCCTTAAGGTATTGTGAGTGCCATGACCCAAGGAAGTCCCATTGCCCACTGCCTTCCATTTCCCACCTGATGTGTCGGCAGCTGCAAGGCATCCTAGAAAGCTTCTTCTGCCTTGCTTGAGGGATCTGCATATCCTCAGCTGCCCTTGTTAGAGCACAAGTTTAGATTTTGTTGATATGCACTTACTGCAGAATTTTGGCCAAGGTTCTGACTTCACAATTTGCTAATTGCAACACCTTGCTTGCAGCATCCAGCAGAACCAATTTGCTTCTGCTGATGGTTACGTAGGGTTACCTTGTTTTATACACCCTGCTTTATATATATGTTAGATAAAGTGATCAGATAACCCACTGGCACATTATAGCTAACTCATGTGATTTGTACATACTCCAAAACAAATGCTACATTTTTTAATGGGTGCAAGTTGCAAAATACCCAATACCCAGTTTTCAACAAGTTTGGATACGTAGGACCAGGTCTGAATATCCCTGAAGGCGCAAACTCAGGTCTGTGCTCAATCTCACTTTGTGTGTTGAAGGTCTCAGGTCCAACACCTACGCTCTGCTTGCTTGCTTGCTTGTTTTGAAAAGGATCAGGTGTCCAGTGATTAAAAAAAATATCTTCTGCTGGAAATGCAGGAGAGCCTCTGCCAGCAGAATAAGCAATCTAGGGCCAAACAGACAAATAGCAGATGAGGCAACTTTCTAAATTCCTCCATATCCACCCACGATACTCATTGGATGTCCTTAGGCAAGCCTTACCTGTCAGTCACAGAAGGGTTGTTACGAGGATAAAATGTGAAATATGTGACAACTGAGACTCTGAAGCCGTGGGATAAAGCAGGAAAGAAATCTAAATGCATAATAATAAATAACTGGGAAAACGTTCTGTACAGATTCTGAGGGCACCTTGGCTGTACCTGTTTATTCATTGTTCTGAGGGTTTAAAGCAATTTCTCACTGCAATGTTCCATGCTGGTTTCCAAAATGTGGGCTTCGTGTTTGCCACGACCCTCTGACCATGACTTGGACGTGAGAGGGAAATTCTTCTGAATCACAACAAGGTCTCCCAGTGTCCTGACCTTCTATGGCAGAGATGGGGAAGCTGATGATGTTGGACTCACTATGGAAGCTCTCCAGATGTTGTTGGACTCACCATGTGTGGTCACTCACTGACCACAGGCTGTTCTGGCAGGGGATGATGGGAGATGGAGTCCAACCACACATGGAGAGACACAAGTTCTCCACCTCTGCTCAGCAGGAAGTGTTTCCTCAAGAAACCTTGCTTGGGACTGTTACTCCAAGTGAACAGAATGTCTGGATGGACAAGTTCCCCTGACAGAACCTGGCAATAATTTAGCAGTTTTACATTTTAAATGGCCATAATGATACTGTAGACTTCAAAGCTCATACCTGCCCAAAGCAAATGGAACAAGTTCACACACCACATTCCCGCCCCTCTCTGACGTTAATAAGATCTATACAAAATCACAACTATTGACGTAAAATTACCAGGCTTTTAAAATCTTGCTATAGCTAATTTGCCTATTTCTGATGAGTAAAGCACGGGCCTGAGCATACTGACTCAGAAGTAAGTCCCACTGAGTTCAACAGGGCTTACTCATGGGTAAATGTACAGAGGATTACATAATTTGCATATAACTGGTTACTGGGCAAAAAGACTGGGATCCTGTAACTATTTACATGCAAGTAGCATCCATTGAATTCAATGGAAATGCCTTCCAAGTATATATATTTATGTATGTATTGTGAATCATATTTTTTTAAACTGTCCATTTGTAATTTTTACAAATTTTCAAAATCAACGCTCCCATAAGCTTAACATAGCATACACATGGATAGTAACAGAAAGGAAATAAATTAACGTAGAAAATCTGCAGATAGAAAAGCAAACCAGGGTCAAATATTCAATGCATATGTCAGAGATCTTGACAGTACCACCCCAAAAATATAAAGCTAGTTGTGCATCTTAAAGCCTTAAATTTTGGCCTCTGATTTAGTAGTTATTTCCAGTGTCAAAAGGATTCACCAGGGAAGGTGGCAGAATGATGCTCCGGCACCTTTTATATTTTGGAAAATCTTCTTAAAGGTGCTTACATTTTTAAGAGTGCAGGATCCTTTGGGCAGGAAGCAGCGGCGGTGGCGAAAAGGTCTAGGAGAGTAGATGGGACTTCCTAGATTGCCTGTGTCAACCTGGAAGAATATGGGGGTCAGGCAGACACCTTTGGAAACACAGTGCAGTCTGCTCCTTTTGTGGTGGGAATGGTGGTCCATGCATTGGCCCTATCAAGGAATTTGGGTAAAAGGTAAAGGTAGAGGACCCCTGGAGAGTTAAGTCCAGTCAAAGGTGACTATGGGGTTGTGGTGCTCATCTTGCTTTCAGGCCAAGGGAGCCTGCGTTTGTCTGCAGACAGCTTTCCGGGTCATGTGACCAGCAGGACTAAACTGCTTCTGGCACAACGGGACACCGTGACGCAAACCAGATTGCATGGAAACACCGTTTACCTTCCTGCCACAGCGGTACCTATTTATCTACTTGCACTGGCATGCTTTCGAAATGCTAGGTTGGCAGGAGCTGGGACAGAGCAATGGGAGCTCACCCCGTCGCGGGGATTCAAACTGCCAATCTTCTGATTGGGAAGCCCAAGAGGTTTGGTGGTTTAAACCACAGCGCCACTCATGTCCCCAATAAACAAGCACACAATCACTGATAGGTTCACCCACCATTGTGAGGCTCAAAGCAATGAAGATGATGCCTCCCCGGCTGTTGCCATTGGCTGTGGGTTTCTTGTGATGTCACAAAAGCACTTGGCAACTGAGGGGATATACAGGCAGGCCAAGGGGAAAGCCCTTTTTTATTTCCAGCAGGTCACACCTGGCAACAGATTTGACATTCAGCAGTGCCCAGGTTTCTGCCACTTGCAGGAGGCAAACTGGTGAATGGAAGGAAGCAATCCTCTGGCACTGGGATGCTAATAAGGCAAGTTTGCTTGCTTGAAGGCTGCTGGTATCCATGGCTGGAAGCTGGCGGATGTCTCATGATGGACCTGAGAGAAGCTGGCGGATGTTGGTGAAAACATTGTCTGGAGAGCTCATCTCAGACTGCAGCAAGCAGATGAAGGGTAAAGGTAAAAGTGAAGGACCCGTGAACGGTTAAATCCAGTCAAAGGTGACTATGGGGTTGCGGCGCTCATCTCGCTTTCAGGCCGAGGGAGCCGGCGTTTGTCCGCAGACAGCTTTCCGGGTCATGTGGCCAGCAGGACTAGACCACTTCTGTTGCAACGGGACACTGTGACGGAAGCCAGAGCACACAGAAACGCCGTTTACCTTCCTGCCACAGCGGTACCTATTTATCTACAGAGGCTTCAGATTACAGATGCTTCAGGTTACAGACTCTGCTAACTCAGAAATAGGACCACGGGTTAAGAACTTTGCTTCAGGATGAGAACAGAAATCATGCAGTGGCGGCACAGCAGCAGCGGGAGGCCCCATTAGCTAAAGTGGTACCTCAGGTTAAGAACAGCTTCTGGTTAAGAATGGACCTCTGGAACGAATTAAGTTCTTAACCCAAGGTGCCACTGTACTTGCACTGGTGTGCTTTCAAACTGCTAGGTTGGCAGGAACTGGGACAGAGCAACAGGAGCTCAGTCCGTCATGGGGATTCGAACCACTGACCTTCCAATTGGCATGCCCAAGAGGCTCCGTGGTTTAGACCACAGCTCAGGTCAGCAGTGGAGGCTGAACAGCCCTCATAGACTAACAATTGAAAACGATAGCAGCTTAGATTCCTGTGTGGGTTTTCAAAGGTTATTAGGACCCTCCATGGCAATTCTCTTTTCAGAAGCCTGTATCTCACTCAGGGTTGCTAACTCTTCAAGGGACACCTGCAGCTGTGCTTTTAATGGTAGCTTGACATGCAGACATTAGCAGGTGGCAATATTCATATGAGAGGCAGTGTGGCACAGTGGTTAGAGTGTCAGACTGGGATTTGGGAAACCTAGCGTCAAATCCCTACTTAGGCATGACACTCACTGGGTCCTCTTGGTCCAGTAAGCATCTCTTTAGAAGGATGTTGCGAGTTTAAAACTGGCGTGCACCACTTTGAGCTCTTTGGTAGGAAAGGCAGGATATACAATAAAAAATGTCTCCTGCTGGCAAAAGTTGCATCAAATGATTTCTGCACCTTTAGCTGTTGTGCAAGGCACAGCAGCCCGCCCCCCCCCCCCCAGTTAGCAGCCTTGATCTCAGTTCACCCCTTTGTATAAAATAGCTCCGACCCCGCTTGGGACAGCCTTTTCTAAACTGCGAGTTTCTTCCCTGAAAGGTGTGGCTGGTGAGAACTTTGGGCACCAAAATTTCCCACTCGCTGTGTCTCTAGGTGATGTGTCTTTTGTTCCAAACATACTGTCTGGAGTTGCTGCATAAAGCTTTGAAACTGCTTCAAAGGAGTACTTCACAGGAGAGAGAGAGAGAGAGAGAGAGAGAGAGAGAGAGAGAGAGAAGGGGTGTGTGTGTTACTTTTCAGCAAAGTTCAGGTAGGTGGAGTAGCCAAGACCCCACCTTAGTCTTGGCTTGCATCCACCCCAGTGTGTTTTTATTATGACACACTGTACGGGATTTGTTCGTTCCCTGGGGCACATGTTGTACATGTCGCAGGGCTGAAACTGAAAAATTAACTTTCTGTCTGCTCTTGAGTAATTGCACCTCCTTGGCTTCCACGCACTTTTTTCACCTGCAAGGTGTAATAAGAAACACTTTGAAGTCACTCCTGCATGCTTTATTTACCCTTTACCTGCCACTTAGACGCATGCTCACCATTCAGAAATTACCAACACGTCGGTAATCTGCTTATTTCATCCGTGGCTGTGCGTGACTGATCTTTCCTGATCTGTACCTCTCAGAACAACGAAACCTCGCCTGAGGAATGTTCCTCAAACAAGTGTACATGTTATGAACGTTCCACTGAAGCCACTTCAAATTGGGCCATCCTAGACACCTTTCTGGTCTCCTACCTGATCTTCTCTGTCAGGTGACAAGGAAAACCTTCTCAAACACAATGAAGCTTCCTCCCCACCAAAGGGTACAGAAATACATACGTTGGGGAAAGTTTGCACATGTTAGTGAAAGTCACGGTCACAGGTGCATTGCATGAGGGGGACATTGCCTGCAAAAATGTGCACACTAGATAAAATTGCATACAAAAATGTGTTGCGCATCAGAAGAAAGGAGTAGTAAAATACTGACAAATTTTCATGAGGCCTTTTTTAAAAAAGATATATGGAAACTTATGGGGAAATGGGGCAAACTGGACTTAAGCCGGGAAAAATGAGAAACTGTGAGAAACAGAACAGGCCAATTGGCCAGGCAGCAGCAGGAGAAACAATCAGAACAGGAGTAGGAACAATAAAAAACAGCAGAACATGCTACACGCATCATCACAGGCCCATGCGTGTACCAAACAACTTAACAGGGTTCTGCTGCCTGCAAAATATCGGTAGCTATTTCAGAAGGGATGCTGGATACCTGAAAGCATTATTCACAAATGCCATCTTTTAAAAAGACAAGTAATGGGGGTGCTTAAGAGGAGAATTGGTCAGGGGCCGAATGATGCGAGTAACAGAAATTTGCTATTTCTTACTACGATTCTGAGTTGTTTTGAACAGCGCTTGTTTATTCTGGGTTCCCAGAGCACAATAGGGACGGATTTCAGCATGTATCTCCATCTCATTCTGCATGGTACAATCCCGGCTACCCCAAGATATTTTGTGGCCCGAGGCTGACCAGATGGCCCCCCTCACCCATTCCCCATACAGAAGCTGACTGGTTGACCAGCGGAGTTTTCCTTCAATATTGGCCATGGGATTGTGCCCTCTGCTGTACTGGAGGGTAGCCAGCTAATTCTTCTAAGAATGCAGCGCACAAGTCACATATCTTCCAGCGAAAGGGGGTGTCTGGAGGGCTCAGAAGGATGTTCCCCGAGGCTTTGCCATTTGAGGCGGTTGCACCATTCTGCCTAATTGCAGTTTTGTGGATTGAAGGAAGCTATGCATCTCGTTGGCCGACTGTAACGCACATAGGAAGCCCCCGCAAGGAACTTCCTGTGGGTGAGATTTCAGGACCCTCAAATCTTAACACATTGCCCTGCACCACAGGACAGGATGAAATGAGGGCCCTAGCTCTGATTCACTTTCAGCGAGTGGCAGAGGATGGCGACAGAAAGATGAGAACATCTGCATCAGTCTTCAGCATGACTCTCTTAGTGAAGTCATCACACCTGTGAATTGCCTTGTTATCTAATGTCTCTGTACAGTGGAGAGCATGGTTAGAGCATCACTCATCACTTCTACAGTATGTGGCACCGACGTCAGCTTTCCTGGAGGACAAGCATGATGTTAGTGACACACAAATGTACACTCCAGAGGTCGACATGACTGCACCACACACTCCACGGCTGCCTTTCACAGGACTGTGCTGCCCAACGAAGCCATAACTGGCAAGCTTCATTACATAACCATAAGAGTCATATGCCACCTTGAGCTCTGTGGAATATAAATGTAGTAAATAAAAGTAAATAAATAGGAAACACCCATGCATTGTATTGAGGTGTGTGCACTGGGGGAGGAAGGGGGTGTGTGGTAGGTGTGGCATTGCCACCCCACCCCCCTGGGATGCTTGCCGCTTGACGTGGGTGGCTAGCCCCACCCCCGGGTGCACAGCACGGGCACCGCTCTGGGTGCCAGAACAGCTAGCTCCGCCTCTGGGTGTGAGAGGGGAGCAGGGGTCATGCTGATGAATTCTGCCTTGACATTTTATGCTCTGGCTTGGCCCCAATGCCTGCGGCCAACTGAACAACTGCACAAACGAAAACTTCATGCATACACATGTACACCTTAAGACCTCCATGCGGCTGAAATTGCAATTGCACAGGGTTCCAGATTGCACAGAAGTCTTCTCTGGAAAAGCTGAATGGAGGAAGTGAGATTTCCATGGCATGACTAGCCAATGCAGTTGTGCGTGGATACAGTGCACCTGAGTAGCACACTAACACTGTTGTGACTGTTAGACAGCACTTTCCTTATCAAATGAGACGTCACATTTTAATCATTTAAATTGTAATGCCCAGGCATAGTTTTTGTGGGTGCCCTGCTGGCAACTTGTGAGTCATTTTACAATTACTTTAATGGTTCCTCCCTGAGAATTTCCAGGGCAACTTGGATTGCTGGCATTGGCGTGATCCAACATGTTCTAACTGATTGCTCCATGATTTGGCCACATTTTCAGAGCCAAATCACATGATGAACTGTGGCCTAGTGAGTGCAATGTACATGCACTGGTAGCATGAGGATCAAATGTACGCATGGGACTGCTGATGGCATAGGCAGAATGATATGTGGGTCAAGTCATGCGTATGTGCCCATGCCACTGTTTCTGGGGTCCACAGCGCTAGATCCTGTGCATAGCAGTTGCCATAGATCATAGGACTGCAGAGCTGGAAGGGATCAACTAGTCCAACCCCACCGCAATGCAGGGATCCAGCTGCAGAACTGGCCTGATGGTGTATTTAGCCCGGCAGGAGGCAGAGGAGCCCCACCAGAAAAGGCCAAGTGGGACTGTTTGCTTGTCACCTCTGCTCCCCACAGTGCCACACAGACCCATGGCCTTGTCAGTTTGCATTTCTTGGTGCAGAAAGTATTGATCGGATGTGTAGAAATCTTTCCTATTCTAATTAATTCAA